CTACAACTTAAGTCATTCCCTAAATAACACTTAAACTGTTTTATTCTCTAAATAACCCTTAATAATGTCCATAATGTCCAGTGGCAAATATTTACTTGAATAATGACTATTGCATAATGACTAAAAGTGCTACATTGGGGAAAAACACATGTGATGCAATTTAGAGAAATTCATTATGTTTTAGTGCTATTTAAGTAAATTTCCCATTAAAATATATGTAATGCATTTTTTAACACTCTAGACATTAAAAACAAAGTAAAAGAAATAATTTAACATTTAGTAATTGGTTACAAAAATGCTTATATATAAATTCAAATGTAAACACATCAAAGTATTTTTTTATATTAATATTCTTTTTGAAAGCCTTCGGGGAATATAACATTTTTGGTGGGATTGCAAAGATTTTAATTATCATTTAGAACTAATATTTTTAATCATATCATAGTTTTTACTCGTGAAAGAATAATATAAAATTTTCTATGAGTGAACTTCAACCTGGTTAAAAATAATCTAACAAATGATAATGGTTAACATTGACTTTTATCCATAGTCATAACAAAACATAAAGCATTCATCATTGTATATCTTTCTATGGTCTTCATTCTTTGTAGATATATATTGTTTAAGGTCATATGACAACTTTTCTTTGTCATAATTCAACTCTTTTACTAAGAAATTATTTTAAAATCTTATAAATGGATTGTCATCTCGGAATGGCATACCACTAAACTCATATAAAGATCATCTATTTTGATTAGGTAACTTTTCAATCTCAATAAAATACAAACTTTTTAGATCTTCTAAAAAAATAGGTTCTGCAAAAATGGTTAAAATATGACTAAATCATTTTAACCCATATCTATATTCTACTATTCTAGAGTTTTGTATATATACCATGCATTTCATATTGATTTTTATATAAATAATAAAAATTGCCTTTTTATATAAATACCTTGATTATGCAATATTCTTCATCGGTCAAATAAAATCCCATCAACCAAGAACTCCCATAATTTTTTTTAAACAACTTGAGTACGACTCATGGTATTTGTCACTAATAATGTGACTAATAACTTTCTTAGCTGACTTCAAGATCCTAGCTCAGTAGTCTTTTTTATATCTTCAATAAATTTTTTATCATTGGTTAATAACTCCAATGCTTCACATGCATTCTCGAATGAGTTTTTTGTTCGAATAACATTGTTGGTAATTATCTTCAAGCTCTCATAGTTTGTACATCTCGTTGGACAATTTTTGGGCAATTTTTTTGACATGTCAGCACGCCATGTCATCAAGTTATATTTAAAGAATTAATTAATAAAAAAACTTATTCTTTGAAAACTAAATTTTGTATTTGTTACACACAAATTTCTCAACATAATTGCATTTAAAACTTTTATATCTTAATTCTTTTTTGGAAAATATTTAAATTAAATCATATATTTTGTAATTGAAAAAAGAACTCATATTCAAAAACCATAATCAAAAGAATAAATTTATTCTAAAAATGGATAAATTGGTAAAACTAAAAGAAATTACATATGAATATTTATTTTTACGTTGAATTAATACTAATTGGAGATATTTTCCAACTTTGAAAAAACAGAAATATATATATAAAAGAAAAGGGATTTTAATGGGCATGTCTATTTAATAAAGTAATAATTTTATTCAGTATATATTTAAAAAATAATAAGTTAAATAAAAAGTATGTTCCATTTTAAAATTAGTAAATTCTATTTTTAAATTCTTTTTTTCTATTACGAACTTTGTAAAAATTTAAAGACGTGTGCCACAAAATTACTATTTTCCATTAATAATTTTTGAAATGTTGAAGACTTGGTATGTGAGTATTTATGTGTGAGAAATTAATTATTAATTGGTGTTCCTAATCGAAATATTTATGGTATAATATTAATTTTTATAAATGTAATTACTATTAATTAAAAGTCTTGAAAAGAAAAAACATGCTTATTTTGATACTTATGTAAAAATAATATAAATAAGTAATATTCTTGCTTATGTATTCATCTTACCATCAACAGCAATGTAACAAATATTAGTGGATAATAGAACTTTTTATGTTTAAAATTTTTAGATAAAAATATTTACAATATTTATTTTTTGATAGTTATTACAGATACAGAAGAAGAGAGGTCGTCATCGGCTATAACCTCGCCTCATTGAACACGTTCGAGAAAGAATGTGCTCTGTGATTTGACAAATGGTATTTTTATTATTCTGAATTAAATACTCCCTCCGTCCTAAAACCACCTTCCCGGTTTGACCGGAGGTGGTTTTTAAGAGAGTGTAAGAATTGAGTTGACCTTCCTAAAATGCCCCTCAAAACCTTCTTTCTCCCTCTTGACACTGGCCGAAACATGCCTAATCTGAACCAAAAACACTGGCGATGATGTCTTCTTTCAATACACACAGAGGCATGGTTCTAAAACAAAATCAAAAATCAAAATTGCTGCTAAATACATTTAAATAAAATAAATTATGAAATTGGTCCAAGCAATGAGATGAAGGCGGGGATCTGCTCCCTCTTCACCGGATCTGAAACGGAGTGGCGACGGCAACGGTGGCTGCAGTCTCTCTGTGCGCGGCGAGGTCTGATCGGCGATGGTGGCAGTCTCTCTGGCTGCAGTCTCTCTGTGCGCAACGAGATGAAGGCAGATTTGGACCGTTTCCTTAGATCTTGATATTAAGATAGAGAGAGAAGAAGAAGAAGATTAGATATAGATTTTGAGGGGGGGGACGGAGGAGAGAAGCAGCTGAGAGTGAAGAGAGATGAGAGTGATGATTGACAGATCCATAGGTTGAGAGAGTTGAGGGAGGGATAAAATAGTCAATTCATACACTTTTTTAAGAAGTGGGAAGGTAGTTTTAGGACGGAGAAAAAAGAGAAGTGGGAAGGTGGTTTTAGGACGGAGGGAGTATTTAATTTTTCCAGTAATTTTTTCCCAAAAATATCTATACAATTATCCAATCCGAGAATAATTACACAATTCATCGTGCTTTTAAGTGCATAAAAGACAGAAGAGAATTGATCTATCTTCAATAACACATGTTTTTAATTTCTTTGAGCATGGTAATAAAACAATTATCTTTGTGTATTAACTAACTATATGTATAAATTATTATGTACTACGTAAATTAATATGGTGGACACGCTCAATGTTGAATTTCCATCTCCCAGGGCTAAAATTTGCAACCTTTAGAGATCAACAAAATCTAAAAGATGTTGTCGAAAAAATATGACAAAGCTTCAATGTTTGAAGCTTGGATGATTTTCAATACACAGTATGATGCGGGATAAAATTTGACGTGTGCAAAGAATTTCCAGAATTTCCAGATCTTTTTGTGTACAACCACAAAGTGCGGAAATGGTCCGATGCAACAAAGACCGTCAATAGGGAGGCTATAATATGTGCTTCCAGAAACCACCATCAATAGGCAGGCTACAATATGTGCTTCCAGAAACTAGAGAGTTATACAACTTGAGAATAGTATTAACTGTCCAGCGAGGATGTATAAGTTATAAGAGTTTGAGAAGAGTTAACAATGTTCTACATAACACATTCATAGAAGCATGTGAAGCATTGAGGTTATTAACCGATGATAAATAACTTATTGAAAGTATTAAAGAGGTTGCTAAGTTAGGATTTGGGAATATGCTAAGAATGTTGTTCGTCCAAGTATCATGAGTCACCCATAAATTGTTTTAAAAAAACAATAGGAACTCCTGTTGAATGAAATTTATTTGACCGAATGTGAATATTGTGGAATCAAGTTACTTCAATATAAAGAAAGTTTTTAAACCTATCAATCCATCTGAAAAGCATTATATGAAAACAAAACTCTTTAATTGAGTACTGCATAGAAACAAATTAATCTTTTTTATTTGCAGAGCTTATAATCTCCCGAGAAGATCTAAAGAATTTATGTCTAATTGAGATTGAAGAATTGCTTATTTGGAATGGACGGTCTTTAAATTAATTCAGTGGCATGCCATTTGGAGATGACAATCAACTTAATAGATATCAAAATAATTTCTTGGTAGAGGAGTTAAACTATGACAATGAAAAGTTGTCATTTGATCTTAGAGAATATTTATGATACAGAAGGATTAATTAATAATTTATACGGAGTATTATTTAGTTAATTAGATATTTTAATAGTTTAGCTAGATAGTTTAATTATTTTTATTTACTTTTTATTGTTGAGTGGAATTATAACACTCCTTCGATGGTTTCTTTTCGGTTCTTTACCTCGACGCTTTTATTGAACCGACAGGCTTAGGGATTAGGTGTTTGCTAGGGTTAGGGTTTACCATCTTCATCTATATATTGAGTTCTAATCCCCTTTAGAATATCATCAATGAAGAACAATAATATTATCTCTCCTAAACCCCAATTCTCTTCTACCTCTCCTCTCTAGCCACACGGTTTTATTCCTCACCTCCTCTACTTTCTCTCATCTTCTCCTAAATTCTTCACTTTCTTTCTCCAATTTCTCAATCTCCTTTCCCTATTTGATACGATATCGTATCAACTCGTGCTCTCATTCTTGAACTCATCGCATATTCCCAAAAAAAAATCAATTTAGCCGTCCTACCCTTGCTGCGCAATTTGATCGATCAAATTGGGTGGATAGTCCTGCTGCAAATGAATTTTCCAAGGAGTTCCAGCCCCAATTTCACTTTGCTAGTGGAATTTGATTATGTAGAGGAGCAATCCAATTGAGAGTGACTCAAATCACAAAAGCAAAAAAAACCCCGAGCAACCATAGACTGAGTGCCCCGCCGCAGCTTTATTTGGCTCCTAGATGAGTGGATTTGCATAATTGGGGTGGATTTAATTTGCAAACTCAAAAGAAAAAAAAAGAAGAGGAACCCCACTGCCGCAGATCTTCTCTCAGCCGGTGCAGTCTCTACCGGGGCCGCAAGCGAATCTAGAATTTGCCGGACAGCAACAACAATTAATATTTCCAGAGCCCAACAATTGTTATTTTTTTATTGATTCATATGGCAGGGAAGTCGTCGGCGGCACCATCACAGCCCGCGGTCTCGTCCCTGAATGATGTTTGGTTAGCTGTTACGGATCTCGCCCTTGAGATTCACACACTCCGCCAGGAACAAATTGCTCTCTCGAGAGGGGTTGATGATGCATTCTCTATTTTGGAAACTCGGGCGACCGTGAGTGACTCCAAAAGTGGGTTGTTTTGTACTAACGTTTTTACATCACGACAACCTGATCCAGATTTTCCAACGTGGTTTTATAGTGTTACAGGCATTCGTCATAATGCTTGGATGTCGAACATTGAGCAACCAAAAGAAGAGCAATTGCATGAACCCGTTAAGGAAATCATATCAGTTGTGACAGTTGAGAAAGATATTATTGATCCTACAAGTATTTCCGATGAAGTTCCTGTTATCGTTTTTGATGATTGTGCTACGAATTTCACGGGAAACATAAGCTTGGAAAACCCGTTTGTGTTGCCTAATGATGTTTCTCTACCAAAGGCTTTTCCCTTGACTAGCATGTTTGAAGGAGTTAGGGATCATGTTTTACTTGAGGGTGGTAGGGGGCTGCATTTTGTTTCTTTCGAGGCACCTTCCCTCATCACATTGCTTGGAGTTCTTTGTTTGCCTGGTCAGAATTCGGAGGTTTGGTCCGAAGGTGGCCAATTTATTTTGTTCGCCGTTGCATCAACTGTTTTGAAGCTTGAATGGGATCCTCCACCAAACATGGCATGCATAGGGTCATTGCACACCGTTTGTTTTCCTACTTACACCTTGAGGACAAGGTGTGTTTCTATCGGGGTGGCAGTGATACAGAAGGATTAATTAAGAATTTATACAGAGTATTATTTAGTTAATTAGATATTTTAATAGTTTAGCTAGATAGTTTAATTATTTTTATTTACTTTTTATTGTTGAGTGGAATTATAACTCCTTCGAGGGTTTCTTTTCGGTTCTTTAACTCGACGCTTTTATTGAACCGACAGGCTTAGGGATTAGGTGTTTGCTAGGGTTAGGGTTTACCATCTTCATCTATATATTGAGTTGTAATCCCCTTTAGAATATTATCAATGAAGAACAATAATATTATCTCTCCTAAACCTCAATTCTCTTCTACCTCTCCTCTCTAGCCACACGGTTTTCTTCCTCACCTCCTCTACTTTCTCTCATCTTCTCCTAAATTCTTCCTCACCTCCTCTACGGTGGAACTGGAAAAATATTTCTCTAGAAATCATTATCTGCTTTTCTGAGGTCAAATGGTAATGTTGTTCTAAATGTCACATCCAACTACAGTGTAGCATCGATTTTTCTTAGGGGAAGGAGACTCGAGATTTTTAATCCCTTTGGTGCCAACTGAGTGCTCATTGTATGCCATCAAACAAGGGAGCCCGAAAGCAGACCCAATCCAACAAGTATAATCACACGGGATTTATCATCTACGATGAATATATTTTCTTTTGAGACGTTGAATTGCACAAATAAACTTCTCTTTTCCCTTAAAAAACCCCTTTTACTCCTTACTTTTTCATATCCTACCTATCACATCATACATTTTTACTATTAATCTACATATCACATCTTACTTTTACAAATCACATCAAGGGTATTTTTGGAAAGTCAACACAAAAATATCCCTCCCTTAAATCCTCAAAAAGTCAAAAAGGGAAGTTTATTTAGGGACGGAGGGAGTATCTTTTTTTATAATAGAGTTTTGACCCAAGTATATAATAGTTTCCATAAATTTGGATATAAAAGTGAGCAATTTAACTCATTTGCTTGTTAGATATATAAGTAAGGAATTCAAAATAATATTGTGTCCATCGTAGATATAACGAATTCCTTACTATAAATAAAAGAATTCAGAATAATATTATTGATCATCCAAAATACATAATTAAGAATTGCCATATATTAGTATTATCCAACATACATAATATAAGTAAGGTGATAAATAATATACTCGTGACCATAATTTTTAAATTTAGTATGGTTTAGGATTGTTTCTTAATAATATTTTTTGTAAATTTTGTCAATCACCATATGTTAAGGAAATAATCTATTCGTGGAAATCATATCATACCATTCATGGCTATGCATGAATCATTTTCTAACGCACGGCCCTATTAGGAGAGTTTCACATTTAATTATTTACTTACCTTTTGTATTTCCACGAAGGACTTTATTATGGTGAGAATTCCTTGGTAAAAGATTAATATATATAGCATGGTCCTAAAATTCTATTTAAATTAATTAAAAATATTATTTTTCTTTTATATTTTTTAAATAGTATTTATATTTCTTCATATTTATTTTTAATTTTTATACTATCCTCGTAATTAGTGTTCGTATTGTTGTTGTAACGCCCTACAACCCGGTCTATTAGAATTGATTGTTTTAAATAAGTAATTACTGTTCCACTCCAGAGTTGGGGAAAATAAAAGTTCTTAGAAAAATTATTTGATCATGTCATTAAATTCGTTTTGACTGTCTGATTCCAAAAACGCAAACGGATCTCAATTCGGACCCGTTCGGGGGAAAAAGCACGTACCGTTCAGGTCAGATTTTAACATAACGGAGTAAAATAAATAATTATACCCCCATCACTCACACGTCCAGCCATTCTCTTCCACTTCTCAATTCAATTCTCTCATTATTTCTCTTAACTCACCTTAATGTCCCTCATTATAAAATACATTCCCCTTCCTTCACTCATCCCACATTTGTAACCCCCATTTCCATAACTCACACACTTCCTCTCCCTCTTCCTCTTCCCCAATTCGGCCAAGGCAGCAAGCAAACCCAGGGAGGATTCCGGCGGGAAGACGGGAGGTAGAAGAGAAGGAAAGCTCACGCAAGAAGTTCGTCCGATCGCCACTCGTCGTTCAACGTTGTTAACCGTTCGTTCATCTCGTTTCATTGTTCCGTCAACCCTTTCATTAGAGGTGAGTAGTTGTTCCCTCTAATTCTAGAACATTTAGTTATAATCCATATCGTTATGTTCATAGGAATATCGTACGCAACCTACGTAGAATCTATGCATGTTCGTAGGTTAGCCATCAAAACGTTACCACGTAAAACTTATATATAATGGCCTAGGAATCACTAGGAATATATTCTTCAATATTGTATTATTGTTCTTAAAAGAATCTAAGTGTGAAATTAGCAAAACGGATCAAAACGAAGCAATGGATAGCAGACTGTCTTCGGAACGGTCGATCGCCGCCACGGACGGTGGACCGTCCCCACAGCCGTACCGACGTTCACCACCGTAACGGTTGACCGCCGGCCGCGACGGAAGACCCCGGTGGACCGTCGGCATTCCAGTCATCCATAATGTAGCCCACGGTCGACCGCCGGTAGGGTACGGTCGACCGTTCCCCGGGTAGATTTCCGAGCAGTTTGTAGAACAAACCCCGTTGACCATATTGACCCAGAATCTGATTGTTTGGTTGCATGAAATGTTAATCTTCATTGTGTATGTTATTTAATTGATATATTCTTGGCGTTGACCAAAGGTAAATATATCAAGCATTCATCATGTTCATTCTAGACGCATGTATTAGGTTTTTCATCATGTGCATACCGCTGTAGGGAGGTCAGGCCTTCGTGCGCCTACTACAGTGGGCCCGTGCAGGAACCTTAGGGATCCAACGGGTTTTCATCAGGTGGGCTTTGTGTACGTACATGGTAGTCAGGCTACGGCTACCACCCAGTTTTGCTAGTTCACTTGCGACGTTTACGTCAAGCCCGGCTCATTACCGGAGTGCAGGGGTGATCCTGTCAAGTAAGACTAAGCCAGGGGTGTCCCTGATAGTTTAAGTCATGCATCAAGTCATATCGTCATCATGTGTGTTCCATGTCATGTCAACATTCAATGTGGTCGTCATCATCATTTATGTTCCATGTCACATCAACATTCAATGTGGTTGTTATCCATTTTGTTATGTGTAATAATATCCCATCAAGTGCAAATTAATCAGTTAGTAAACATGTGGTTTTCCGTACGTTAAGTACAGGTATTAATATGTGTATAACCATATGGGTTATCACTTCATGTTCTTTTGTTAGATTCACTCCTCAGCTTTTGCTGAGCGTGTAGTTGTTTTTGCTACACGCAGGTAGACATGACGGTACGGGTGCTAATCCTGGAGGACAGTGATGATGGGATGATGGGCGGCGCACAGACAAGTTTAATAATCATATACATTTAATAAATTAATCATTTGGGCAAGAACCCACCATTTGTCGTTTTATTTATTTTGGACTTATTTATTTACTTCCGCTTTTACTCTGCATTTATATCACACACGTTTTGGAAATAACTCCCTAGCATTTATTCCGCCAATTAAACAAAATCGTTTCCATCATAAATGGACATTAATGTTTTTCGCTACGGACGGTTCTCGGACCGCCCATGTAACCCTACCGGTCCGTTGGGTCGCAGGTGAACTGGGTCCACGGAAGCCGGGTGTTACAGTTGTAAAAATCTGAATACATATATTTACATATAATATTATTGATTATCCCAGATTCATAATTAAGGATTGCCATATATAAGAAATAGATGGAAAATAATATTAGTATTATCCAAGGTACATAATATAAGTAAGGTGATAAATAATATACTCGTGATCATAATTTACAAATTTAGTATTATTTAGGATTGTTTCTTAATAAGATTTTCCGTAAATATTGTTAATGACCATATATAAGTAAGGTGACCAATAATATATACTCATGGAAGTAAGACAAATAAGTAAGGAATCAAAAATAATATTGGAATGTCTATTAGTATAGGTACTCTATTGATTTCAACCTATATATACACGAATTTCCATTAATAAATCTTTGTTAATTACTAATTTAAGTATGAAATTTATAAATATGGAAGTAAGATAAAGGATTAATATATGTAGAATGCTTCTAAAATTCTATTTAAGTTAAATGAAAATTATTATATTTCTATTTTATTTTTTAGTATTTATATTTTTTTCGTATTTATTTTTAATTGTTTATATTATCCTCGTAATAAGAGTTCGTATTGTTGTAATCTGAAAACATTTATTAACATATAATATTATTGATTATCCAGGACACATAATTTTGAAGGCATAATCGTGGATTCCCTGTGAAGGCAATTTTGAATCGGACTTACCAAATTTTGAAAGTTTCATCTCGCGATTCTCCAATTTCTCCAATTTCTTCCTTTTTTGAAGGCTAGCGAATCCCCAAAGAAGGAAAGGAGAGGTATATTATTTCAAAAATCTCCAGGCAGCGATTCATCCGTGCGCAGATCTTCAGCTAGCAAATCATAGAAGGAAAGAATTTCGTTGAAGGGCAGTGATTATCGAATAGAAAATCTGCGGTCAATTCTTTTCAACAGGAGATCCACTGGTGCATCTCGTATATAATTTATTTCCGCTGGTTTACTCGGATATTACGTGGCATGCTGACATGTTTAAATTTTGCCACATAGACATGCCAAATGTCGAATTTCTGTGCATCCGAGTCTCCTCTATTATATTAAAGGATAAAGATTTCTATATATTTTTTTAAAATTTCTACTTTATTTAATCTAAACCAAAAAATTGACGACTTTGAATTCAAGTTCACCCTAATAGTTATCTGTTTGACTCAACTCTCACCTAATACGTCTCAAACTTTATCTTTGTGTATTTTTTAAATATTTTTATACACAAAAAGAATCTTTTTAAGTATAAAAGTATTTTGACTCTTAAAATCTAAGATTTGTAAAATTCTTTTTATAAACAATTATTTTTTTATAAAAAGTATTTAAAAACAACTTTTAAACAATACAATAATCCAACTTTTTAAGCTCTAAAAGTAGGTGCAGGAGTTTGACTCTGATTATCGCAAATTTAATTCTAGAACCACCTCATACTGAATAGAGGGTGATATAGAACTACTTCTCCCGTTCTCAAAAACACATCCTCTTTCATTTATTCCACTTTCAATAAAATATTTCAAGTTTCTATTGAACCCCTTTAATTTTACTCTTACTTTTTCTTAACATATCTATCACATCATATTTTTTTCTAATAATTTATCTATCATATCTTACTTTTACTCATCACATCAACTCATCAAGAACAGAATTAAAAGTTAACTACTCCCTCTGTCCTAAAACTTTCTTCACACTTCCCCTTTTTCTCCGTCCTAAAACTACCTTCCCATTAGAAAAAAAAGATGACAAATGACATTAATACCCTCATGTATTTACACCAATTATCTTCTAACTCTATATTTTGAATGATTGTAAAAAAAATTTCAAAAACTCTTTTTTAAGGAGGGTAAAATTTAAAGTTAAAGCCAAAAATTAAAAATGGAAAAAAGTCAAACTGGGAAGAAAAAATTAGGAGGGAAGGAGTATAATTTAGTACTTTTTTATTTTACTTTTTGGTCAAAAGTAGAACTCTTTTCCTAGACGTCTATGCATTTTTTCTTAAAGCTAGACAAGTTATTCTTTAATATAAAATTTGAGAGTTTGATTTGTGAGAATGACATGTGGCAAATTAACATGTGGCAAATTAAGGCGTATTTGCTTAAAATCGCAAGCCTCTTTCCAGTACCGATTCTTCCCCTCCCTCTATCATCTTTACTTAAAGAAAACTACAGGACACTGCTGCACAAGGAAATATCTACTTCTTCGCCAATTTCTACTTCGCCGATTGCTTCGCCCAAGGAAAGCACTTCACCCCGATTTCTTCTAAGCGGATTACAAGCCATTTTTTCCCCCAATTCTTCGCCTTCGCCAAAGGAAAGGACTTTACACGAGTATTCAGCGAAAGAAAGTCTCGATTATGAAGAGCCCTAATTGCGGTCATAAATTTTCGTAGCTTCAAGAAATAGGTTTGTTTCCAAAATTCATATGTACTCCTTTCTTAGAATGTCTATTAACTAAATTAGAATGTTTCTTTATCCTCTAAAGAAACAATCTAAAGAATTAGGTTTGTTTCCAAAATTTTCTTATTCAATTTTGGCATGTCGATTTCCCCAATTCTTGGATTCCGATTCGCAATTTGTTTTGAATCATAATATGTGTAATTACATGCCTTATATTGCCAATTCCTTGATTCCCATGATAATATTCTGCCTATATATGAATTCTCCTCAAGATTATATGGCCCACAATCTTTCTTTTTCTTAATATATTAAAGATTATATTAAAGATATATTAATATATTCTGCCTATCTTAATATTCTGCCTATCTTAATATATTAAAGATTATATGGCCCACAAGCTTTCTTTTTCTTCTAGACACATTTCAACAACCCACTTTTTACCTTTCATTACTTTTTTAAATTCCATGAAGTCAAACCAAGAGAATTAATATGTCAAAAAAGTTTCGCTTAAAAACCATTTTGTTTATTCAAAATTTAGAACCTTAGGCACATGATTGAGATTCTACTGTATAAAGCTATTAATATAGGTTAATTGAGGCCTTTGCACTCAGACTTTTCAAAAACTCATTTCATAATACTTTCTTAGATTGGATTTTGTTCCTATAGGAATATTTTTGTTCAAGACATCATGTTTTACACCATAACAGTTATTAAACTTCCCTCATTAGCTGAATATTTTATTACTGTTATGAGTCACTGGGTATTTTTTATTTTCTTATAATGTTAAATATCTAGGTAGAACTATGAGAGAAATAATACCCTATATAGGTAGAGGATCTGCAATCAAATACAAAAGCTCCTCTATAAAATGAAAGTCTCAATGGAGCAAGTTTTTATCTACAATATCATTCAATGTGTTTATTTTTTAGAATATGACCATGTGTTCTTTTATGCTTTTTGAGCATAATATGCTAACAATGGCCCATGTTTAGCATTGTGATCATGAAGTGCTTAACAACAATTTGACCATCACTGGTTTCATGCTTATTGGTTCTTGCTGTCACTTTGTTAACAAGGAGAGTGGGAAAAAACAAGGCATTACTATTACATGTTATAGCACATTGCCGACTAATGAGGAAGAGAGACTATCTTGAATGACTTTCTTTCTTACGTTATATTAGTTTTTTAATTTATATTTTGTGTGAGTTGTTCTTGTGTTAGATCGTTGTAACAAGGTTTCAAGAAGTTCGTGGGAGACAAGAAGCAGCATAAGCTTCTTTGATATGTAAGAATCTCTAAAAAAATANCAACTAATGACCCCGGTAACCCCCAATTAAGGATAATATGTCAAAGAATTCAACTTTAACGAAAATGAAAATTGAACTATGTAGTTTCCATGTGTTGTCAGAATTTAGTCCATGGTTGAGTAGAGTGTCACACTCGTGGTCCTTACAAAGGTGGTTTACAACCTAAACACCTAACCATCATGACTCTTTTGGTCCTGTATGGAATATCTCCCACCTACAGTTAACAAACACTGAATAACATTCTTAACTAAACTTAGAAAAAACAGCCTAAGAACAACAGAAAAAGTTACAAACAAAAAACCATAACAAAGTATGGCTGGACTCTAGAGAGTTACTTGAATGGGCTCAAAATGTGTGATAAGCAGCAATTTAAAATGATAACCTAAAAGGAAGTACACAAATCTTTAATGATCATAAAATTGAGAACTAAAAGAATACATTGTATGCAATGGAAGTGGAAATTAAATATAAACAAAAGGGTAATGAAGAATCACAATTAACATGTGGTTTATGAAAAAAAGATGGGTTTAAAAAAAGGAGTGCCATTTATCACTACACAAATATAGCAAATTCATCCATTTAAACATTAATAAAGAAATTCTTAAAAATTAAAAAAAAAATTACAACCTGCCTGGTATACCATCTGTAAAACTACTTATCAGTTAGCATCCTTTCGATCACACACACATCTTATGCATTATTCACTGCAAACATATTCCCTCGTTTCCTTGAAGTGAGCATGTCAACTTATCTTTAACTTGAACCATTGTTGATATGAGCTACCACTAAGGAAAGTTAAAAATTCGAGTTAAAGATCATTAAAACACCATCATTCAAGCATCTTTAATTGCTTAATCTAATTTATGCCCATCATGGAATGGATTCATTACATGAATATGCAGGCATATTAATAAAAGAGGTGCGTTTTTTTAAAAATAAGTAAGAGCATAGATCTTTTTTACACAGCTATAGCTATTTCTTATAAAATCAACATATACAACCTGTTTTGGGGAAATAAATCAGCATGCAAAACATAAAAAAAGCATATAAAATGCAAAATATGGAAATAAGAATTAATTTTCAAACATATCAGCCTGTTGATAGTATAATTCAATCAAAAACTATAGAATGAAATATAATACATAGCATTAGTTACCATCAATCTTGACACTCTTCAGCTTGCTACTGAACATTGAATTTACTTCAACCTTGAACATATACTGCTTACTATGCAGAATATCATCACAGTCTTTAGGGTTGTCAAAAGTTCCATCCTGTGATAGTTGTATTGTTAAGGCAATATATAGTTTATGAATGAAAATTGTAAATCCCTTAAGTAGCACTATTTCTAGTAAAAGAGGGTGTCATCCAATGTAAAAACTAAAAAGGTGAAATTCTATGTTAAAATAAAAATAAGAATTCACGTCTTCAGGAGTAATTTAACCCGCATGAATGTTTGCCAAAATTAGAGGTATGAACAAAAAGGATTCAAAGAATAATGGACCTGAGTGAGTACTATTTACCATTACTCTTATATAATGGAAGATTTCTTGCAGTGGAATTAATGGAAGAGCAAGGAGAAAGAGCAGAGAAGCTTCTGTGCGGAGACTTTGAAATGCTTTTGGCTGAAGAACTGGGCTGATTCTAATGTTTTTTCGCCATAAATACAATAAAAGCGCTGAGCGATTTCTGGATCGTGCAAACTGATATTTTCTCCAGGAGCTCTATTGAAGCTTATTCTCCTAGCGAAGCAAGAGCCCTTTTGGCGTAATCATCTAGGGGTTCTTGACACTGTTCAAAACAAATCTTCTCAACCATGGCTTCCACTGTGGGTGACAGAAATCCCTTCTCCTCTATCCCTAAAAAGGCCTATGCTTCAGCTATTAAATTAAGATGGAATCATACTTTAACCCAACAAATACATATGGAACTCATACTAAACCTCACACATTTGGAAAAAAATTTGCAGAATTAATGATATGGCTAACAAATTCTGCTCCTATCATGGCAAATACTTCACTGGGAGGGGACAATCTATCCCTAAAAATGGCCTATGCTTCAGCTATTAAAGATGGAATCAGACTTTAATCCAGAAAACACATATGGAGCTCATATGAAATCCCCAAAATCAGAACATTTCAATAAAAGAACCCTAAGAATTCTTTCAAACGAATCAATATATGAATTTAACAGAAAATTTTGGATTACAATCGAGCAAAAAATCTAGGAATATGATTGAGAAAAATTAGGAACTCCAGAACAGGGATTAAAGAGCAAGAAGCGATGTAAAATTAATTCCTCTCGATTCTTGAATAATCTATGCATATGATTTTTGGAAACATGCCCTGTTTTGAGGCTTCGAAAATCTTGGATCCAAAATACGTACCTTTTTTCACAAAATTGGAGACTTTCCTTCATTGATAGGGTAGCAATACAATTCCTTTCCTTCGGCGAAGAGATCACACGGAAAATCAGTGATATTTTTGGAGAATAATCGGCGATGGGGCGATGGGTCTCCGCGTGGAGAATAGAAGAAGAAGGGCTTTTCTTCGACCGGAAAGTCCTCGCTAGTGAAAAGGTCTGAGAATGGGACGGGTGTAAGTAATCTGACGTGTCTTAATAATATAGCTTTCAAATTGCCACGTGTCATCATTTTAGGCTATCAACTCTCAAATATTATATTAAGGATTCTCAAGTTTCTTATTATCTGAAATATATCCCGAGATACTCTCAATTTTCTTATAAGAACTATCAGATCCGACACTATCTGAAATATATTTCAGAATTCTTAAAGTTTGTGATGTTATACTCTAAAATTGAAAGTTCTTTTACTTTAATAAATTATACTCCGTATAATTGTATTTAAATTTAATAAAATAATAGTTATCAATATAAAACCGGCAAGGTTCCTTTGACACTATTATCTAGTGTCAATGGATGACACTCACATATGTCAAGCACCTTCGGTGCTCCGTTTTCAACATTGATGGTTCCTATCTGTGTTGGAATTTTGATGGGTAGAGTGAATTGGGCAAGTGGTGAGTGAGATTTGACCACTTGTCTATATAAAGTTCAATCATCTTTCTATCCAAAAGCTTAAGCTAATAGATAGAGTTTCACCTTTCTTTGTAAAGGAGTGTTATTCGTTTGATTTTTCTAGTGTGGGGTAAACCCCACACATGGTTCCCAAAACCTCCTCTCAAGTGATAATTAGTCTGGTCTAGTTATTACTTGGACGAATGAATGAATCTAGCATCTCTATTTCTTTATAGCTACACGGTGAATGCCAGGATGAATTGAAACCGAACCGAACTTGTCTCTCATACCATGTTGGAAATCATGATTGATCATGAAAAAGAGAAAAAGATGAATAATAAAATGTAAAGAAAATTTATTTTTGATTGAAGATTCTGTTCAACTAATTACACCGAGAAACTATGGAGAAATATATACAAAGGGAAAAGGACTAACAGAATCATAACACATCTGTAGCCAACCAAAAGAAATCAATTAAGCTATTCCAACACTACCCCCCAATCCACCCCCTAAAGCCCCACCGGACCCCACTCCAATCCCATCCTGCACCCACACCCTAGACCCCCCTTTTACCCCCTCCAAATGTGTGGCTATTATGAAAATATCCCCCTTAAGGTCTGACCATTTCTTAACTGAATCTGGGAAAAAAATAAGGCACGAAATTTTGATCCTAAAATGTGCCTTTGGAGAGTTCAAGACCAATTACGTTTTTGAAAAGATGTCTTTTTTCTAGCATATGGCAAAAAAAAAAAAACAAGCACAATTTGCTCAATTGGTGACTTATTTAGCTTGAGTAAACGTCCCATATTATTTTTGTGATGAAGTTGTCTGTTGGTTGCTTAGTTTTAGTAGTGTGCCAAGCATGAAATCACAAACACCTCACCTTAACAAAACTAACATAGATAAGATAATCTCAGAAGTACCCAAAGACGGCTTCAAGCATCCACATTGACAAATATCTCCCTGGCTTTGAATGATATTAGAGTTCTAACGAGTCAACAATAACACTCACTAACAGTCACGTCTCGACATCGAAATTATGAAAGCAATGCTAGGAACAAGTGCTTCAAGATGATGATGATGATGATGATGACGATGATGATGATGATGATGCACCTCATTCCTCATCCTCCCCATCTTCCTCTTCTTCCTCCTTTTCCTGCTTCACAAATATCAACTTATTGTTATATACACCTGCATCTCAAATTTCTGAAAGGAAAATGCTACTTTTACACCAGGCTGACACCATTAAAGACAAAACAGTTTCTGAGAAATTATGAAATTATTGTGTGATATGGTGTCGGCCTGGGTGTCAAACAAGGTGTGACTGTAGTATGGTACTTCCTGAAAAGTGACAGCTTTAAAAAGCCTTTAATATAACCGATTTCAATGATGGATTTAAAGGTCTACCGAGTTTTTAATCTGTACTTACTTCTTCGTCATCCTCATCTCCGTCAGTATCTTCCTCATCCGCTTCCTGCAAAAAGAAAACGTACACTGTTGCTGTCACTAGCTCAAATAAATGGGTAGATAACAATTAGAGAATGGGTGCTATAAGGTTGAAAACTTCACATTGTTGAAGTATTTCAAAGGATTGGGCCACAGGTCCTCCTTGATGATCTCTGCAACCTGTCATTGACGTTGCGAAAAGCAAATTAGTTAAAATCTTTATCACTGTTCATTGAATAGAGATTTCTCAGGATAATGGAAACAAATGTATGAATGAAACTAGAAGGAAAAATGGCTTCACATATGGAATCTACCTCATCACTGAACCCATCGGCGATATCTTTCTGCTGTGTTTCAGTGAACCAAGTGAAAAAGCTGCACCGAATGAGAAAATATGAGTTCCGTTAAAACAAAGTTGAACTGTACACAAAGACTGCCACACATGGAGATTATTTCTAAATACTTCATGTTTGTATAATTACTCCCTCTTGTCCAAAATTTTATTCCAACTATGTCACTTTGACT